CATCTCAAGACACAGCAAAAGCAAATGTTTGTGCCGGCAGACTCAGCTAACAGCTCCAGTCCTAAAGGTCTGCTAGGGTTGGATGTAATTCTGGTCTAGGCTCCAGTGGATGGGAAGTGCTGATGTTGACCCAAGAAACACTGAGGAAAGGACACACTCATCCACGAGAAGCAAAGCTGGAAGATTATTTTGTAAAAACAAAGGGCTGGGACAAATGGCACATTAGCTGTTACACATGTTGCAGCTTTTTAATATTCGAAATCTGCCTACACAACGTCTTCCGCTTTTATCTGCAATCAGTGACATTAAGCTTCATTTTATTCAGATGCCAGTGGGTTTGCAAGGACACAGCACCGCCACATTACAAGTGCTCCCACATCGAGCGCAGCAACAGCCAGGTACGGCCAGAAAAAAAAAAAATAATAATGAAAGAAAAGCCAGGAGGCATAGCTAAGCCGCCCTTGCTTTGCACGGCCGAACGGCACTCCGCACAGCCCACCGCCTGCACTCAGGGCCGCCTCCATCCCGGCTCGCACCGACCGCCGGGAGCCGCAGCCGCGCCCCGCAGCGCCCAGCCCTGCGCGGGGCCGCGCCGCCACCTGGTGGGGACGTGCGGGGCTGCCTCTGCAAGCACGGCGGGGGGCGAGGGAACGGAGAAACGCCGCCCAGGGGGAGTTTGAGTTTTAGTACGAGATGCAGCACAGTCATTCAAGACAGACTGTACCTGATGAAGTTCGAGAGCTCTTCTCTAAGCCTTTCGAAGAATACATTTGATTGTGTAAAGTTACAAAGTAGAGATACAGTTAACAGTATGAAAGCATTACATACAGTTCTAAAAGATAAAAAACGAGGCAGAATCCCCCAAAACCTTTAAAACCTCACATCAGATCTACTGGGCAAGCGATTGTCTTGAGACAAAAAAAAAAGCTCATGGTTTACATTTTCCATTTAACAACTTTTCCCTCATTGAATCATGCAATCATGGAGGTGGGAAAGCGCAATAAGATTATTCAGTCCAACCATCAACCCATGCGACCATTTCAGATCATGCCACTCAGTACCACATCCACCTTTTTCTTCAATACCCCCAGGGGCAATGGTTTCACCAATTCAGCAGTCTGCTCCAGCGCATTACCACTCTTTTTGTGAATAGGTTTTTCTAATAGCCAACTTGAATCTCCCCCAGTGCAACTTGAGGACATTCCCTCTCTTCCACAATTTAAGAATTTCCACATCAGTCTGAGCCAATTATATTGTACAGTTGGGAGTTTTCCTACAGTGTTTTTTACCTGTATCTGGCCTTTGTTCAGTAGATATCTCTGTCATACTATAATGTGATGGAAAGTACAGCAGTAATAGCAGATGGGAACAATTCCACCTGCAGCAAATGAGAACAAGCCCAAATGCTACAGGCATGGATGCAAAAACAAAGGAAGAAAAACTGCTTACCTTTGGAAAGTCTCCATTAGATAGAGATCTCTAGAGATATACCTTCACCTCCTCTGCCAACCCTTAGATAAGGTCTGTAAGGGGTGGATCATAGTTCCACCCCTTCCCATCACTCAGATGCACTGCATGCACCTGAGCTCCCCTAGGCTGGTCCTGCCTTCCACCAGGTGCTCAATCACCACTTCAGGCCACGACTCAGCATTTCTACTACACTCTATTTTCTCATCTTCAGTGATTTCAAAGTCCTGGCACTGAAGTCTCTGTGTACATTTCTCTATATTAAGTTTTTACTATAAGTTTTTCTGCGAAGTTACTTGTTTTCAAGCTTGGATTTCTGTATTTCTACATAGCAGCTAACAAGCACAGAATAGTCACCGCCATGCAGTTCTCTGAACACCTGATGAAAACTTTCATTACAAGTAACTTTAGAGAAAGTAAGTATATGCAACTAGCACCATACCTTGTCATTTTTCTGTAGTACTGTGATTTCCATACTAGCATCAACCTCAGTAGTTCCTCACATCAGTACAGGCTCTCTGATAATTAAAGTAGCCCCATAAAACATTACAGAAAAGCAAAATAAGGTTTGAATTCCTTTTGCTAATATGAAGGCAAAAAACACACTAGAAATTAGGCTGCCAACAGTAGCCTTTAATCTACTGGCAATCACAAATACACAGGAAGCAGAGGAGTATCTAAGACACTCCCCTAAGGCTGAATAAGAAACTACTAATTTTTTTACTTAAAATCAAGCAAACTAACTAGATTAAAAACAAACAAGAAATAACAGAAGACACTATCCGTAACTACTTCACACTAGAGCCCCTGGAGAAAAGGTAGACCACACAAATCCTTGTAGAAATTAGACAGACCAATATATTGGGAAAGGCAATACAACAGAAATGCAATGATGGAAGGACCAGCACAACGTAAAGGCACTATAAAGGAAGGGAAGACAATTACTCACCTGTAACAGAGGATTCCAGGTTCAGATTCCAGGTTCATAGGAGAAAGCTTCACCAAGAAGAGATCTCCAGAAAGAGATCCTTCCCCCTGGCAATCACCCTTAAATGGGGGGGGTCTAAGAGAGGTGCAGCCAGGCTCCACCCCTTCTGGTCACACAACTGAATTGCCTTCACCTGTGCTCCCAGGGCTGACCCAGTCCTTTCCCCAGGTGCTCAATCAGTGGTTCAGGCCATGACCCAACAGTTACCATACAGTCCTGAAAAACACAGATAACCAACAGACAACTAAAGTGCTGGCAACATGACCATGAGAAATGGCAAAGGAGGGGTTCAATGAACACAGTGAAAGCTGGAGACACAGACCTGATGTTCCAAGCAGGAAAAGAGACTTCCATCCTTTGATCCCAAGAGATTCAGAAAATCAGTCTTGCTATTCTCTTTTTCCTAATTAAGATTGACTACATGAAACGCACATCAAATTCAGTGACTGACTTTTCCCTTGGTAAAAATAAATGAAAGGCTGTCCTAATTTCTTAGGCTCAACAGAAAAATATTCTTTCAATAATGGAAGAAAAAAAAATCAGTTCTAATTCCATGAAAGAAATCAGATAAAATTATATCCTGAAATGAGAAATCAAATAAATTCTAAATATTTTATTTAACCTGTAATGCAATGCAAGATTTTTAATGCAATGGAAGTTTTTTTTTGCCTTTCAACAAGAAATGATGTTTTTTTCCAGTAACACAACCAAGATGAGATGATAGCTACTGATATAGAAATATATATCACTGTGAAAATGCAGCTGACATAACAGCACATGCAAAAATAATGATTCAGTCACATGTAAGAACTGTAAAGAGAAATCATACAGAAGCAGGGCTAGAAGGTCAATTACATTGATTGTCAAAATCAGATATGGGGAAGCCAAGCAAGAGAAAGTGGAAAATCAGAAGGTATCACATTGATCCACATTCAAGTGACATTGCATCCTTTGTTTCTTCTGCAGGCAGGCAGATCTCACTGTGATGGGGTGATACACAAACATCTTATGGCTGTGCAGAGATGAACACCAAGTTTTCAGCAACGGGCACTTTCAGTATGTGCCACCGATAACCATTCTCCCCTAACAGTAAACTAATCGTTTGTGAAAGAATATTAATTATGAAGATCACTACTTTTCAGTAGTCACAGCAAGGAAAAAGAAGAAAAAGTAGCTTGGACACCTTTGCGCGATGCCCAATGGATTTTTTTTACTCCTCAGATGACAAGATTTACACAGTTTTTGCATCAGGAGGTCTCTGCACTGATCTCTGACTCCTGAGGTAGAGCCATCCTGCCTCATGACGTGCACTCACCAGCATGGTGCTCAGCAGCCTGTTATCAGTTTATTAAAAGAAGGGTGTCATAGCTGCCAGTTTCAGAGCACAACTGCAGCTCCATATTAAGCTGCCCAGTTTTACAGGTGGAAACGCAAACAAATGCCTTGCTCAGTGTGCAGCTGACCATGCCACGTCAAGCAGCAAAGCTACTTGATGCAAACAAAAGTAAGATGGAGCGTCTACTTTCTAACAAGCACTCCTCACACATTAGACTTCACAATGACACATCAAAGCTCCAGGAGCAGAAACATCCTAAAGCCTTATGCAGTTTAACCCAGACACACCCCTAGGAAAGGAAGGAGGGATGGTGAAAGCCTACAAGCAGGAGAGCCGGTTTTTACTGGTAAGCACACCAGGAAATGCTTTTATGAACAGATAAAGCCAGCCCATGTTGCTATGCACTCTCCAGTGTAGCTCTGACACGTTCCCCAGTTAGATAAGAAAGGAAATGGGGCACATGGGGAGAGAGCATTTTTGTTTTATTGTGCTGCTCCCAATAGGCTCAAGAGCTGATTGCCAGAGATTGACCTGGAAGTCCTTCCCTGACTGATGACATTAACCCATCAGCTAATGAAGTGGACAGGACTCTAAAGCCCTGCAAACTTTTGTGTTGTATAGCACAGGGCTTAGCTGCTGTAAAAGAGCCGGAAACCAAAAGGCAAACACTTCAAAGACGCTTGAAGCTCTCACTGTTTATCGGACATTAAAAACTGCAGTGAAAAAGTTCTGAACGGAGACAGTCACACATTTGTTATTTGTGATACAAGGGCGGAGGCAAGATAAGGGGAGTGCCAGAGCAGCCCCAACTCCCGACCGCATGCCGAGTACGAGCGCGCAAGGCAGACCCCGCCCAAACGGCGCAGCCCCGAGGCCGCCTCCCACCACACCGCCCGCCAGCACGGCTCTCGTTCTGACAGACAGGAGTTAAGAGCGGCGCCAGCCAATGAGAGAGCGGACGGGCACGGAGGCGGAGCGTGCGAGGACCCAATGGAAGAACTGTCCGGCCCCGAGAGGGTGGGAACAAAGTTAAGCTGCAGTCACCGGCGGCGTGCTCTACCCCAATCGGAGCGTCGGCCCAGATCGCTCTGTCCGGATTGGTCAACGGATGGCAGGCGGGCCTTAGCGCCTTCTTTTCCCCAATAGGAAGGCGGCGGAGCGTGACAGGCGTACCGATTAGCCAATTGTCGTGGGCTAGATCTCGTACCCCTTTCTCTTCGCAAAATGGCGGCTCCGGCTCCGGCTGTGGCCGCGGCCCCTCCCGCGGCCGCCCCGGCTCCCAGCCCGACCGCCGCTCCCTCTACACCGACGACGGGCGCGCCCCCCTCTGCCGCGCCCCCTCCGCCCGCCGCCCCAGCGGCACCGCCACCCTCCGCGCCGCTGTCCGCCGCGCTCTCGGGTCCCTTCCCCGGCGGCCGCGTGGTGCGGCTGCACCCGGTCGTGCTCGCCTCCATCGTAGACAGCTTCGAGCGGCGCAACGAGGGCGCGGCGCGGGTCATCGGGACGCTGTTGGGTAAGAGCCGCGGAGCCGGGAGCGAGCAGCACGCCGCCCCCACGCCGCCCCGCTAACCGCTGTCGTCCCCGCAGGCACTGTGGACAAGCACTCGGTGGAGGTCACTAACTGCTTCTCTGTCCCGCACAACGAGTCCGAGGATGAGGTACGGCCACGCGGCTCGGCGAGGTGGGGGCCGGGGCTCTGGAGGAGGCTGTCCCGGCGGGGCTTCGTCCTGCGTTGCCCTCCGCCCGGGTGTCGGCGCTCCTGCACCCTCTGACTCTGCTCTATCCCCTTTCCCAGGTGGCTGTTGATATGGAGTTTGCCAAAAACATGTACGAGTTGCACAAAAAGGTGTCTCCCAGCGAGATCATCTTGGGCTGGTAAGTTCTCCATCTACAAAAAAGTTCGGGCAGTCGTGTAGGTCCCTCAATATACCTGAGCTACATGGCTGTTGTCACAGGCTGAGAAATGGAATCAGCAGTGAGGTCTTGCAGCTCTTGTTACAGTTCTAAAAGTGCTGTCATTCAGGATAGGAAGAGATGCTACTGCAGATTTAAGAGCAGTTTTGGTTTTCTAGAAGAGCTATCACAGACAACAGGGTTAGGGAATGCTTACACGGATCTGTTTGAATGTAGCTTGTTTGAATGTTTCAATCTGTTTGAATGTATTTTACAATCTGTAAAGTAACTGACCTAAGGGAGAAGACAAAAGTACCAAAGGCCTGGTGGGAAATCAGTCATGTTAGCCTGAGCACGCAGGTATTCTCTGAGGAAAGATGGAAGACTTGTGCTGGGGTATTATAGGAAAAGAACTCATCTGTGCATGGATAGCTGGCTTTGTATGTCTTTTGGCATCCTCTCCAACCCTTTTCTGTGGAACAAAATCCTGCAAGCACAGAACTCTTTGCTTCCTTGACAGACTCTAATGGCATAGCAAAGTGCAGTTCTCATGACAGTCACTTTCCTATGCATGCAGGAAGTTAATTGCAGAGCAATTGAAGGAGCTAGATGAACAAGCCCTGCTTCCTGCACAGAGGTGTTTCATTTGTTTCTATTTGTTTTCTACATCTACTTTGCTGGTCCAAATTTGGTTGGCATGCTTTTATTTACAAGGAAATAAAGATTTGGTCCAGATCATAGTGACAAAAAAACTGACTGTTGGGTGTCTGATGGCAACTGTCCTTTGTGACTGTAGTATAACACTGGCCCTATGCATGTTTTGGACATGTGTGTTCTCAGCCTATGATTTTAGGAGAGCCATAAGACTACGTATGCCCTAGTCAAAATACTAGTCTTTACTATGCATCTGCAGCTCAGTGCTTAGACATTAGGGTTTTAGAATACAAACCTGTATCAACAAATGCTGGGCATTTGAACATTAGAAGAATGCTCTTTCAACATTTGCTTTATTCAAGGTATGCAACAGGTCACGACATCACAGAACATTCTGTCCTGATCCACGAGTATTACAGCCGGGAAGCCCACAATCCAATCCACCTCACTGTGGACACAAGTCTCCAGAATTCACGCATGAGCATTAAAGCCTACGTCAGGTACTCTGGGACAGGGACTGTCTGAATTACTAACAGACATCGTATTAGGATAACAAGGAACATAGCAGACTGTAGTTTTGGACAGTATTGTGCAATAGCTGAACCACAACTGTGAGCCAGAGATCAGAGCATTCTTCCTACCAGAATGTCTTGACCATTGCACATAAGTTGAAAGCCTTAACCTTTCATAAGTTGGTTTCTCACTGGGAGTGAGGAACTGGCTTAGTTAACCTCAGCAGTGTTCAGAACATCTTTGCAATGCTTCATGGGAATAGCATAACTAGCATCAGTGTTATATTAACTTCCATTATACTGTCTGAATGCTAGTCTTTACTCACTGCATCTTAGTGCTCAGCAATTTACTTAATCAAGTCGTACTATTAGCACACTCAGAACTTAATTGAAAGAGTGTCTTCTTGGTCAGTCTTTCTTCCCCTCCTCCACTTCCATTTTTATTAATTGATAATGGCGATAAAATGTAGAGAAATGAAACTACTCTGCTTCACCTCACTGTTCTTCCCAGTGGTTGCTGAATAGTTCTCCTCCTTCCAGGATAAAGCCCCAGTCTTTGTAGCAGAAATCATGCTGCTTTCTGACCGTGCATCTTCAAAATGGAAGCTGTTCTGTGACATCTTGTATGCTGAAAGCATAAATGAACTTCAGATAGAATCATTTGATTTACAGAGGACCTCAAGGTCCTCTTGGATGACCTCCTCAGGTCATCAAGTCCAGCTCCCTGGTAATGAACGGTGGCACATACAGCTTGACCGTGCTGCTCAGAGCCCTATCCAGCCTGACCTTGGATGTCCCCAGAGGTGGGGCATCCACCACGTCTCTGGGCAGTCTGCACCAGTGCCTCACCACCCTTATTTTAAAAAATGTCATCTTTTTGGCCAATCTAAATCTCCCCTCCTTTAGTTTGAAACCATTTCCCCTGCTCCTATCACAACAGATTCTACTAAAGAATCTGCCCCCTTTCCTCATATAGCTCTCCTTTACATATTGAAAGGCTGCTTTCAGGTCTCCCCAGAGCCTTCCCTTCTTCAGGCTGAACAACTGCAGCTCTCTCAGCCTGTCCTCATAGGAAAAGTGTTTCATCCCTTGGATCATTTTTGTGGCCCTGCTCTGGATGCATTCTAATAGGTCCATGTCTATCCTGTGCTGAGGACTCCAGGTTTGGATGCAGACTCCAGGTGAGGCCTCACCTGAGCAGAGGGGCAGGATCACTTCCCTCTCCCTGCTGGCCACACTTCTTTTGATGCAGCCCAGGATACGGTTGGCTCTCTGGACAGTGAGGCACATTGCCTGCTTGTGTCCAGCTTACCATCCACCAGTTCCTCCAGATCATTTTTGGCAGGACTGTGCTCCATCCTTACATCTCCCAGATTATAGTGATAGCAGGGGTTGTCACGACCTGGGTGTAAGACTTTACACTTGGATTTATTAAACCTCATGAAGTTTACCTGGGCCCACTGCTTGAGCCTGTCTAGGTCTCTATGAATGGCATTCCATCTCTCAGGCATGTCAGCCACACCAAGAAGACATTACTCAACTCATCATGCACTCATGCTGATAAATGTCAGACCAGCTAGGAATACTTCTGGATGAAAATTTGCAGTTAATAATATGCCTGTATTGATTTCCTATCCTTGGTTATACATGGTCTTAATATTGCTGATTTTAGTGAGAATGAGTAACCTACTCATGTTCACACTCTCATGCTAATAGAGATCATTGAGATGGAAAGAAATTATTTATTTCATTTCAGATATGTCCATGCTGAATTTATGTATTGTTTTCCTAGTGCCCCAATGGGAGTCCCTGGTAAAACTATGGGCGTGATGTTCACACCACTGACAGTGAAGTACGTTTATTACGACACAGAGCGGATAGGAGGTGAATGCTTTCTTCCTATTATGGTTCTAACTATTGTGACGCTGTTCAAATGCTGTTGTTTATTAATCCTGGTAAAATTACCACTTTGTGGGTGTCTCTCTGTCTCACTGAAACTAATGCTATCCTAAAAAGGCTTCAAGAAGTTGAAGTTTTAAGCTGCTTTCTGTGTCAGTCAGATTTCTCAGTGATCCTTGTTTTGCTTTCAGTGGATCTTATAATGAAGACCTGCTTTAGCCCTAATCGAGTGATTGGCTTGTCCAGTGACTTACAGCAGGTGGGGTCAGCCTCAGCCAGGATTCAGGACACCCTGGGTATGGTGCTACAGTATGCAGAGGATGTATTGGTACGGCAAACTTTTTATGAGACTGAAGTTTGATATAAGATTATGCATCTTGTTGTTACGGGGTTTTTTTTGCTGAGTTTTACTCATGCTGAAGTGTGTTTCTTGTGCATAGTCTGGCAAAGTGGCTGCTGACAACACCGTGGGGCGTTTTCTGATGGATCTTATTAACCAGGTGCCAAAGATTTCACCAGAGGACTTTGAGACCATGTTGAACAGCAATATTAATGTAAGTTAATTGTCTTCTTTCTAAGTGTATTACCAGCAGTTTTGAAAATGTCATACAGACACAATTTTGTTTACGAAAAAAACTACCTTTTCATACCAACACGGTCATAAAAAACACAGCCCATTCCTGTCTCTTGTTTTGTGTTTTAAGAGCTGAGGGTGGGTAAGAGAGCTCACCATAATTAAAAACAATGGAAAATAAGAGAATTACTTTAAAAGCACATACGAATTTTGCAAGTAATCTGAAAGGCAGCACAGATTCTTCTTTTAGAGTGCTGGGAAAATATGAATTACCACACTTCATGCAGTATAGGTTTTGATGATAACTAGTGACTTTCCCTGCTTTCTTTGCCTGACATGAAGTTCTGTCTCATGGCAAAATACATAAGAGCACGAGCAAGGTTTCATTGTGCTACCTTATTTCTGTAACAAATTTTTCGAGAGCTAGTTTTCTGAACCTGTTATTTGCCCATAGTCTGCAGGACCACAACTAATTTTTAATTTTGCTTACACCCTTTGACTCTCCTGGTTAATCCTGGTGGACTCGAAGTTAAAATTTCACAAGTGCTGTTTCATGTTCCAGGAATACCAACGTTTTCCCCTGTGAGGGAAGCATTCCTCAGGGTAGGACTTTCAGGACTAGCAATAGTTCCGGTAGCTGATTGTAAAATGCTTCACAGGCGTTAAAAATTCACATCTCCACAACAGGCTGTCATCTTTGGTAATATTTCTGATGACTGTTCTTTTTCTTTTTTTCTCTCAGGACCTTCTGATGGTAACCTACTTGGCAAACCTCACGCAGTCACAGATTGCTCTCAATGAAAAACTTCTGAGTTTGTAAAGAAACTTCTGCCACCTTACACTTCAAAGAGCCTCAAGAGTGAGCAGATACACACTTTTCATGGTGATGTTACAAATTCCCTTGGACCTTAACTTAATTACCTAAACAATTTGGTTTACATCTTCATTTCTGCAAAGAGCCTCAAGAGTGAGCAGATACACACTTTTCATGGTGATGTTACAAATTCCCTTGGACCTTAACTTAATTACCTAAACAATTTGGTTTACATCTTCATTTCTGCTTTCCTGGAAAATCCCTGACGTGGTTTAGGAAATGAATAGGAACTCCTGCAGTTTGGATGAGCCCGGTATTTTAAAATGGAATAAGTGAATCTTTTGTCTTCTGGATTTATCTGTTTGTGTAACAAAATACAGCTTTAATGTAAGAAATTATTTGAAATAAAGTTCAATTGTATTGGCAAGAATACCTTCTGTCCAGAAGAAGACTGTTCTTACTTATTGTATAAGGAATCCTCCTTTGAAAGAATCAGGAAAGAAAACTAGAGTGGATGCAAATAATCTCAAATTTGGCAGCTTTCTCTGCATTTTTCCCAAAAGTTTTAAAGCACACAGTTTGTGGCACCTTGCATTGCACATAGTACACTTTTCCATGGGGAACTACAGAATGGCCACTGGCCTATAACTGGTGCTGTGTATATGGCCTTCTCCGATGAGGTATGAGGCAGCAAATTCCATTTACACTGCGGTATTTGTTCTATGCATATCTGATCCTTTGGGAAAGGAAATAGAATGGAATTCCACCATTGTGAAGAGGGGGTTCAGAGTATTAAACTAGCAGCTAAATGTTCAGAGTATTAAACTAGCAGTTAAATGCGTGGTTGAAAGGGCTTGAAAAGCATTCCTCCTGAAGTTTTCATGTTTGCAAAAGAAGAAAAATTTCAGTGAATTTTTGAGATTAAAATTTAGATATTATCAAATAGGGATTTTCTGTTTCATAATGACTTTCAGCTGAAGGAAAGCCAGTTCAAATTGCAACTTTGTACAGTCTCAGCTAGTAATATTACCTTTGGAAGTCTGTTCAGCTGTAGTAAAGTTTTCCCTAATGCTAGCAGTATCACTCCTGCATCATTCATTCTTATGTTCTAATGACCATTTCTGACACTTTCACACACATCTGTTTCAGTAAATGAACTGAAAATGTCACAGAGAAGCCAGCAAAGTCAGCATTCCTCCTAAATACCTTTGTGCAAAATTTGCCAGATAATCCAAGAACGAGACACAGCTCACATCTCTTTAAATCCTGTCCTCGGGTTGCAATGCAGGGAATTCCATGAACCGTTCAGCGCTAAATTCTGAGTTCTGATCACAAGGGCAAGGTGCATAAAAACTGAAGGCACAGCAAAGACTTCATTTCTGAAAGCTATCTGTGAGCATTAAACATGTTTATGCTCAGCTCCTTTGTACTTCTCTAATGCTTTGTTTCCCCTTCTTTAAACTCAGTATTTGAGCTTTAGCTGGTTAACTTACATTTTCAGGTCACATTCTTTTTAAAATAAGCCTTGAAATAGGTGGAGGAAAAGAGTGAGCAGCAAAGCTAGATGAGCCTTTCTTAACCACTGCAATAAGCAGAGGGAAGAAAAGCTTTATATTCTTCCCCTCATTTCTTCATTTTGTAATAAATCCTTGCTAATCTCAGGAAATTAATATGTGAGAAGAAAGATCTGATGTAGAAAGATTAAAAGTTAAATAGTCTAGGAAGCTGCTTTGCACAAAATGCAGTGTTTGAGAACATCAATTTGTGATAATGATTACAAAAAATGTATTGTGCAGTTAATCAGTCCTGATAAATACTGAAGACTAACGATGAAGCACTAATGGAGGTTATGTCTTCCTGAGCAGAAAGATGTACTGCAAAGTAGAGGTATCAGAAAAGCCCACAGTCAATAGGCTGACTTGTATGGTAGACAGTACAGTAACAAACAGAACAAATTGGAGTAGAAAAATAAAGGCTGCCCTCAAAAACTGTGTTTGATTCCATCCATGCTGGCATTGGGTGAATGGTACATTGTAAACATTGGTCTGACACAAGAATTTTCAAGTTCCCATGACCACCCTTGTGAAGGACAATGTTGCAAGCAAATTGTAGCATAATGTATCATTTTGATTGGCTAAAAAGTAAAGCCTAGGCTGCATCATTATCAGGAGGCTGAAGAAAGAGGCATTTGGAGTTTGAAAATCTAGACAGGAAATCCTGAAGGCCTTCTATCTCTCCATTTCATTGGATCTCATATCTAAAAACTTGAAATTGCTTAGGAAATCTGTTGGGGAAAGCTTGGGAGTTGAGAAACATCACCAAGGATTTCAAGCTCTGATTTGCTGTTATTTGTACATCACTGAGGTCTTGGATCTATTAGGGGACTTTTTCCTTTTTTGTTTGTTTGTTTAGGGTTCAATACTCCAAACAGCTTTGACAAAGTTTAACTTTTAAGAGTCTGACTTAATCATTTTTCAAATAGTCCAGATAGTTCTCCAGGTATGCTTCTATATACAGCATGTATTGTATTTAATTATGTTAATGCCCTCATAGCTTAGACAGAGCTGGTCCTGAATTGTTACCTGAGCAGGAAGTTCTCCCTGAAAACATGTTTTCCTCAATATATATAACATTCAGAGCAGAGTTTACAGTTACAACCGATTCCCTTGTTCTCTTTGGGTATACTGTGTGCTTAGAAAAGTTAGAGAAATACATAAAATCAGCCCACCTTGCTGTGTCAGGCCTTCTCAGAGACAGAATCCAAGTCAGCTGCAACATAGGGATGGAGTTTCTCCAAAGCGTCTCTCGGCAGTATGATGAAGCAAGGCAACCTTGTGTTCACCTCATTTCTGATGAGCATGGATGGTAACCTGTGGCAACCTGCAGTTTAACAAGCACAATGACATTATGCTTTGCTCTGGCTGATTCCTAGTGTAATAAAACTGCTTGTTTGCCTCTTTGAGCAAGAGAGTATTAGCTCCACAAGCACATGAGAGTACTCTGTGTTGCTAATCAAAACCAGTACTTGCAGCATGAACTTCGTTAAATAGAAATACCTTCCTAAAAATTGAAGGAACATTTCTTCACTGATTACACTTTCAACAATAGGACCTCAGGCTGTGTACCACAATGAAAATTGGAGGTATGTGACTAATTAGCTTCCTTGTGTGCTCTGTTGTGCTGTAAAGCTTGCAAACAACATGAAGGTGATTCTTCAGGAGAAGCTTTTGGATAGGCGGTGTGCAACAGCCAGGTTTCTTATGACTCTGTAAAGTGCTTGGGACTGATGATGCACAACAGAACAATTCTGGTAATGATGGTGACTGTAGGATTAGATTAAGGTCCAAAGAGAGCCCTTGCAGACTGCATTGTGCTAGTGTTAATTCGCTGGCTAAGCTAAAAAGCAATTAAAATTAGACATTTTAAATTCATGTGACTGAACAAAACAGTTAATACTATGTGGTGTTTCTCTGGGTACTGAAAGAAGTTTGTCTTTCTTGTTTGGGTACACTTAACAGCCACTGTGTTGTTGCCATCTTCTCTGGTTCCCTGTATCCACTAACTTTACCTTAGGAGGAGCTTCCTGAAACACAATTCCAATTCTTTCCTATCTTGACAAACCACATCTTAAAATCTTTTTAAATACACCTAAATATATCTCCTTTGTCCTTACTGAAGTTTGTTTCATGTTCTTCCTGGTATTTATACACTGTTACAGATAGCATCATACAACAGCCTTCATTTTGCTACGCTAAACATAACACGCTATATCTTCTGCTGTGATCTATGATCACCTAGCTGCCCATTTTTAACTTAATTTCAGTCTTTCTACTTGATACAGACTTGTATCAGTGTGTAGATGAATGGATATAAGAATGCACTAATGCTTTTCCATTATAAATTCCTTGTTTGCCTCTTGGTGTCTGTCACTTACTGTGACTGAGCACTGTCCTAATCACCACTGTTGTCATTTGAACTCTTAAGTTACTACTGAAATGGTTAATTTCAATGCATGACCTGGTATTGCGACAGCTTTTAATTAGAAAATCTAGATGTTATGATCATCTCCCTGTTTCTCCTGGTTTGGATTGCTCTCAGTGCTGGTGACACTTCAGTTTCATCAGCAGGTATCATTAGCTTGTTCCCAACTTTCGTGCCATTCACAGTTAAGAAGAAATTTGGAACTAATCCAGGCCAACTTAGGTGAATTCTACAAACACCCTTTTCAACAAAGCTTTTGTGTTTACTTTCAAGTTCTTTAGCCTTGGCCATGCTAGTTTGCGTCTTCTCTATTTTAACCGTGGTTCTTGTCACATTCTCTGTGAATATCCAAGTGTCATCCTGATCCACTGTGTCCTGAAATTCACCTTTGACATGAGCAACATCTTTTTGTTTGGCTTAAGCCTTGGAAAATGGAAATAAGACTAAATTTTCAGTGTTGCTGAAAATGACAAAAAACATTTGCTGTTTGCAATTGGATACTTAAAATCCTTGCTGCTAGAATTACAATTTCATTCGCTGATTATTTCAGAATGCTGGGATGAAGGTCACTAAGTCTGCACTGTCAGCTGAGTCAATTAAGTTTCTTGGCAGAACACTTAAGTCTGCTGCAAAGAGGAAGTAATGTTTTAGTGTATGATTTTGTGAACATGCCATCTATTAGTAACAAATCTGGAATGGGCAGTTTTAATCTTCAGGATTTAAATGTCAGTGAAGAAAACTGTTGAAACTGCTCTTTCAAGTACTCCAGCAGAACAACCTGCTGCTCTCCTTGTGCACTCTGAGTAAGGATGAAGTGTATTTTTAGTGAGGTTCCACCCAGCAGAACAACAGACTCTGATGGCAGTCCTGAGGTTTGTGTGAAACCCTCACGACTGCACTACAGCGGGTGGAGTCCTAACATGACTCATGGGTTAGTAACTCTCATTTGAGCAGCTAACCAAACACATCTCTTTGTGAAGTGAACTGTGCTTGCTCTGCTCTCTGTTCTTAGGGAAGGTTTACTCAACAGCTAACTTTGACTATCTGCATTTCAATTAGTGCAGTCACAAGGCAGTGTAACAGGGCAAATATTGTTAGTCCCTAACAGACTTGGATCACTGCAGTATCCTGCTGGTTTGTTATACTTTGACCCACGGTTAAAAGCTGACCAGGTCTTGCTGCTTACTGAAAACTGTGGGAAAGTTGTGTTTTTTGTTGTTATTAGTTTTAAATTCTACTGACTGAAATACAAAATCCAAAGCAATGTTTCATATCATTTGTGACGCAGTATGCCAAGCAGGACATATAGCACAGACAAGCAGCAATGCGTTTAGTGTCCTACATCACCAATAATAAATTACCCAAGGAAGTTTTAGCTGCACTGACAGCACCCAGTATGATGAGGTAGGTGAGAGAAAGTCCCTCTGGAGCAGAATTCTGTCCAGAATC